ATTCTGTCACTTCCCTTTTCAGCAGCCTTCAGTGCCCCCACTGCCTGCAGCCGAGCTGGCTGCCGGGAGAAATACACAGTGTGGGCCTCGCAGGCAATCTCACACCTCATAGCCACAGCAAATAAGTAAAGAGTAGGCGAGATAGCGATTTTACTTTATCCAACATATCCAAAATATTATTTCAACATCCATTAGTCAATATAAAAATTATGAATGGCTGGTCCTGTAAGTTTCTAGTCTTCAGAGTCCAGTGTGTATTTTACACTCTGAGCACTGCTCACTTCAGACCGGTCCCACTCCCTCTGTGTAGGGCTCTGGGATGGGCCGCTCAGGGCTTCAGGCTCGCAGCCCCGCCCCTTCCCCTGAGTCCCGCTCACAGCTCCAGACCTCATTCCTTGCCCCCACTCAGGTGTGCCCGCCAGAACAGGTGTGCTTTCTTTCCCTTGCCCAGTCCATTCCCCCTGCACTGGTCTTCTGTCTCGGGGATGTCTAATGCGTGGTTTGCTCAGAGTTGTTCCCTGTGCAGAGTGTCCTTCCCCACACCCTCTCACCTCCCCCACACCCGCTCGGCCTGCTGTGTGCCGCCTCCAGACTTTGCTCAGCCAGCCCTCGCTGCTGCGGAGAAAGGCCTGGGCAGGCCGGCCTGTGTGAGGGCACTTCGTCTTCTCTCCCTGGCTGCTTGGTCCCCACAGCACTCATTACCATCAGGTCTTGTAAATTTCACTGTCCTCTCTTTCCACTTGAATGTAAATTCCGGACTGGAAGGGATGTTTTGTCTGTTTTAATCAGTGCTGTATCAGTGCCTGGTGTCTGGTATGCGTGGATGGATGGATGGATAAATGGATGGATGGGTATCCGTGGGGAGTGGTTCCAGGAACCCCCTCGAGACCCAAACCTGCGGGTTTATATGAAGTGGTGTCGTATTGGCAGATGACCTATGTGCATCCCCCCTGTGTACTTGAATTCTTTCCCTGCATTAATTGATTTCAAGTTTTTTGGTCAAACTGTGTCAGAAATCCACAAAAACCAAACTGTTGATATTTTGACTATTTTATGCATTTAATAACAATTTAAGCTGCTTTGTATGTAAATGAAATTTATGTATAAAAATTTCCTATTGTTACTCATTCTTAAAAAACACAAAAATATAGAAAAATGTACATCTGCTTTTCTAAACTTCCTTTCTGGAAGTTTCCATCTGCATTCAGCGGATGGAAATATTCATTTGGATATATCTGACTGTCATGGCAGAAAGGTTTTAAACCTTCCCCAGATACTTGTAAGACCTAGTACAGTGGAAACGCTGGGTAAATAGTTGTTGTGCTGTATTGTTTAGGGAACAATGACAAGAAAAAAGTCAGTACATGTTCAGTACAGACGCAGCCAGCACTACCGTAGGCCTGACGACAATTACACGTTGTCATCAGCAGCGGAACTTTCTTTCAGTTATTTTCAATCTGCTGCTGGCCGACTCCTTGGGTGTGGAGGCCGACTGCACCCGAACATAAGTGAGCAGGTGCGTGGTGAGCGGATGGCACTTTGGGCAAGTTTCCGGAGCCTCTTACCTCCTGTGGGCAGCATGGCAGTAGCACCTGGCTCCCTGTGGGGAAACGGCCGCCCTTAATTACACTGCTGACAGGAACAGACATGACACCTTCCACGGAGGTAATCTGGCAGTACCTGTAAGCTGACCCCGCGATGCCACTGGGAGTTTATCCTGCAAGCGATACTCATGCAAGTGAAAGCTGCCGTTTGCACCAGGTGATTACTGCGAATAAATGTCCGTTGGTTGGGGCCTTTGAAACTAAATTGCAGTGTGTTCGTCTAGCGGAATATTTGGCAGCTTCAGAAAAGAATAAGGAAGCCATATTGGTCCCCGTGCAGACAGAGGTCCGAGGTGAATTACTGAACAAGATAGCAGAGGGGCAGCCGGTCCACGGGGCTGGCTGGTAGGAAGGAGGACGGCGGGTCCACGCAGCCAGTCACCCCGAGTGAGAAACAGGAAGCTGCTAGCAGTGACTGGGGACGGGCTCTGGAATGGAGGACGGGGTGTGAGTGAGGCTCCCCCTTTATCTGGATGGTGAGTGTGTTATCCGGTCAGAAAACAGCAACACTTACCCTGCAGGGCAAGTGTAAGGATTGAAGAGCACGTGCGCAGAGCCTGGCACACACAGTAGCTCCTCTGTGGAAGTTGGTATTGCTGTCCTGCTGTGGCCACCACGCACCCCAGACGTGTTGAACCCCGGGCCCCCAGATGGGGCCTACACTGTCCCTGGGCCTGAGCACACGGTGCAGAACCCGTGAGAAACCCTTTCCACAGCGAGCGGCCTCCACGGTCCTTTTGTGTTTTGGGTTTGCAGTTGCCCGGTTCACAGTTCTGGAGCGTGACGAGTGTCCACGAAGGTGCCCCGGCAGGGCGTGGAACGTGGGCGCAGGCTTCTGTCCGCAAGGCACAGCCACGGGTCCGCTGGCAGTGCTCTCGGCGCCCCCTTTTAATACGGAATATGGTCCTTAAAGGTGTTTTGTCACCCCAGTAATGCTCAGTTTAACGATGCTGCTGTAATTCCTCATCTTCATACCGCAGTTACACAGCAGTGCTGCTTTCACTTGGCAGTGTTACCATGCTGAGTTCTGATGGAATTATTATTATTATTATTATTATTATTATTATTATTATTTAAAGATTTTATTGGGAATTGGGGGGAGGGGAACAGCGTTGGGGAATCGGGGAAGGGTAATGGACAGGTAGACAAATTGCTGTTTTGTTCTTCAGTCTAGTTGTGGAGGACGTCGCTTCACTGGCCCATGTTGGTATGATCACTGTGCTCTTCCCGGGTGAGGCAATCGGTCACCCGTCATTGGTCGGCTGCTCACAGCGGCTCCGGGCAGCTCACACCGGCTGCCGGCCGTTCACGCTGGCTGCCAGCCACTCACGGTAGCTTATGGCAGCCCACTGCAGCCCCGCTGCAGCCTACGCCATTGCCAGTGACTCACAGCTTCCCAGCTCTAGGTCGAGCTGTTGTTCATCATCTTAGCTGTAGAGGGTGCAGCGTCATTGGCCCTCAATGTGGGATCCGAACTGCAGCCCTGCTGCTCAGAGCTGGTGCTCCCAAGCGAGCTCTTAATCAGCTGAGCTACTCAGCCGGCCCCTGATGGAATTATTTTTGTTGTGTTTCTTAAAGCCAAAAAGAAAGTTTTCTCCTCACCACAGTGCTGAAGGTGTTGATGTTCTTAGCGTTTTCAGCACAATAGAGTAACAGAGGCGATCTGGGGCACACTGATGTCTGACGTGGGCGTGGCGAATGTGGGGTGCAGGAGAGCGAGCCACGGTGCGAGGGTGAGGACCACACTCCGGCCCCAGCCTGGGGTAGCTGCGGTAGCACTTGACAAGGCCACCGATGGGTGCTGCGCCATGGCGACCCTTAGACCCTGAGCTAGCAGGCCAGTCACCTCTGCGGGGTCAGGAATGCTGGGGCAGCCTGGGCCTGGTGGTACAGCAAGGTTTGTTGGGTTGGGGGTCGGACCCCAAAAACACAAGCCCTGATCTGGCTTTGCAAGTTACCTCTGTGACATCCTGTCGAAGAGATGGTGACAGGCTGGTGGAAACCACGCCAGAGTGGCACCAGGCTCTTACGCTGCTGGCAACAGTGTAGGTCTTAGGCCTATTAGAGCTGCCACCAGGCAGGCTGGGAGAAGGCGGGGCGTGAAAATGTGGACTGTGGCCCTAAGGCCGGCTCGCCTTGTCTCTGTTCATTTAAGAAGGCCAGTCTGTCATCCTATGGCTGTGACACTGCGGAGCAACAGGCGGTGACACCTGCTGTTGAGTGACCCTTGCCCAACCCCCTGTCCCCAACCCCTGGGCCCTGCATGCTGCACAGGGCCAGGCCTCCTGTGTCTCCACTGGCCTTCTGGGGTCAAATTTTCTGCAGCAGCTCGCGTGGTTCATTAATCTCTCTTTGAAAAGCCTTTTTCATTTTCTGTGCAAGTGCAGCACACACAGCAGACACGGCACAAAGCCGATGAGGCAGACGGCGCCCTGCTTCTCGGAGGGCTTGGGGACTCCCAGCCCGTTAGGTGTAGCGGCGACTTTGCTCGCCCTAAGTCTGCCGGGTTCCAAGGTGGTGGCTGGGCGTGCAATAGGGGCGTCTGCAAAGAACTTGGGACCTTCTGGCTGGTTTCTGGTGATGCAATTTGGGGACCAGGCAGCCTAGAGAGGGCTACCGTGTGGAAGGTGCCGCGCCCGTGGCCCCCTGGCACATCTGCACGCAGGGAAGGTACAGTGCCTTTGGGTGGTGTTTGCTTTTGGCCTTTTGTTCTTTTGGTTTTAAAGGCGAGGCTCCTGATCTAAAGAACTAGTTGGTCAGTGGAGCAGAAATGAGCGGGAGTGGCATGGCAGCGATGAGGCATGTCCTTCTGAATCAGCCCGGTTTCTTTCTTTCGCTCCACCTGGTTCCCAGGAAGACTTGGAGGAGTTGCTTTCAGACGTGCCCAGGACAGTGGGTCTGAGGGAGGAAGGTTCCTGGGGCCGAGCCAGGGTGTGTGTGCTGCTGGCGGGGGCTGCACAGCACAGGGTCAGGGGTGGTCGGCATGTGACTCACAGTGACGCTAAAGCGCAGAGGGACCCGGGAGGACGGCAAGGGTCTCCTGGGTGCTCGCAGAGAGGAGGCTGTGCTGTGAATCGCAGGCACAGACCCTCCTAGCGTAAGAAGTGACACGTGCCCGAGGGCTGCCCTCTCACCAGTGTCCCAGCACCTGGTGCCATGTCTGTTGAATGACTGACTCCCTCAGTGAAAGACAGTGGCCTCACACCCAGGTGCCACTCTGGAAGGTAATTCTACAGGCGGCCAGAGTGCTCTGCGCTGGCCCGGCCGGCCGCGGGGTAGAAAGTGGAGTGCCCGGCTGGACTGTCCCTCCTGCCGAGCAGCAGACAAGCTTACTAGCTGGAAAGTAGACCTTTAAGCTTCTCCATTGTGATAACTTGTTCTCCTTTGTCTTCACAGAGACTAATAGACAAGTCACGTGTAACCTGTGTCAAATGGGTTCCCGGTTCGGAAAGCCTTTTCCTAGTGGCCCATTCGAGCGGGGCCATGTACCTGTATAACGTGGAGCACACTTGTGGCACCGCAGCCCCCCACTACCAGCTTCTGAAGCAGGGGGACAGCTTTGCCGTGCACACTTGCAAGAGCAAATCCACGAGGAACCCTCTCCTTAAGTGGACGGTGGGCGAGGGGGCCCTCAACGAGTTTGCTTTCTCCCCAGATGGCAAGTTCTTGGCGTGCGTGAGCCAGGATGGCTTCCTGCGGGTGTTCGGCTTCGACTCGGTGGAGCTGCATGGCTCCATGAAAAGCTACTTCGGAGGCTTGCTCTGTGTGTGCTGGAGTCCGGACGGCAAGTACCTCGTGACAGGTGGCGAGGACGACCTGGTGACAGTCTGGTCTTTTGTAGACTGCCGAGTGATAGCTAGAGGCCACGGGCACAAGTCCTGGGTCAGTGTTGTGGCATTCGATCCCTATACCACGAGTGTAGAAGAAAGCGACCCTATGGAGTTTAGTGGCAGTGACGAGGACTTCCAGGACCTTCTCCACTTTGGTAGAGACCGAGCAAACAGCACACAGTCCAGGCTCTCCAAACGGAACTCCACAGAGAGCCGCCCCGTCAGTGTCACCTATCGGTTTGGCTCAGTGGGCCAGGACACACAGCTCTGCCTGTGGGACCTCACAGAAGACATCCTTTTCCCTCACCAACCCCTCTCGCGAGCAAGGACACACACAAATGTCATGAATGCCACGAGCCCTCCCTCCGGAAGCACTGGAAACAGTGTCACGACACCCGGCAACTCTGCACCCCCGCCCCTGCCGCGGTCCAACAGCCTCCCGCATTCCACCGTCTCCAGTGCTGGCAGCAAGAGCAACGTGGCCGACGGGGCCATTGCTTCTGGGGTCAGCAAATTCGCGACGCTCTCACTACATGACCGGAAGGACCGGCACCACGAGAAAGACCACAAACGGAACCACAGCATGGGGCACATTTCCAGTAAGAGCAGCGACAAACTGAACCTGGTCACGAAAACCAAAACGGACCCTGCTAAAACTCTGGGGACACCTCTGTGTCCTCGAATGGAAGACGTCCCCTTGTTAGAGCCGCTCATCTGTAAAAAGATAGCACATGAGAGACTGACTGTGTTAATTTTTCTTGAAGACTGTATAGTCACTGCTTGTCAGGAGGGATTTATTTGCACATGGGGAAGGCCTGGTAAAGTGGTAAGTTTTAACCCTTAACGCTGCGCCAGCTCGAGAACGTGACTAGGTAGACATGTTTTCCTTGCGGGAGGGGTGGGGTGTACAATGAATGTGAATGACACTTCTTCTAAATGTAAATCTAAATGCATCAGAGCCATAATTTTGGATACTGCATGCCATGTAATTCTGAATCATTTGATAATTCACCTTAGAACGTTTAAAAAAATATAATCAAGCTAATTGCCAGCCAAGTCAGTCACCCTCCTGGGAGTATATAGAGTCCCAAGGTTAGTGTTCCCGTATTAGACTATTTCGATTTTAGGAAAATCATGACAGTGTGGGGGAAACAATGACTTAAAATGCTAAAATTAAAAATTCTGCTTTAACTGGAATATTTTTGCCTAACTACTCAATTAGAATATTGTACACCTGATCAGAACGTGTGTTCAGTACGGACGGCCATTAATTGTCATTTATAGTCCGATTTTTTATCTTAATCATAAAATGTTTAGGAATCTATGAAATTTAACTTTAGGAACAAAGCGTTCAGCAGGGTTGATTGATATTATTTTTACATTGTTCTGGCAATCCACAGAAAGAGAAGAGCCTTAATTTTTAAAACCCATTTTAGTCATTTTATGACAATTAAAATTGTTTAATAAACATCTTTTTTCAAAGAAGCAGTTTGTACCACTTTGATTGAGATTCTGTGCACTAAATACATACCCCGTTACCTGGGACCTGGGCACCTCGGGACCAGCACCTGTCAGGGCCTCTTGCCCGTCAGCCCAGCCCCTTCCTGTCGAACGCTCTTTGCCTGTGGGCGAGGGGCCCTCAGCAGGGAAGGAAACTAACGAGGAAAAGCAGGTGTTGTTTTCTTTTGCTTTATTCAGGGGGTGGGGAGACGGGGTTGTTTTGTTTGATTTGGTCCAAAAGGCACTTGGCTGTAGGCCCCCGGCAGACAGACTCCCCCAGCTCGGGTTCTGGTATCCCCCCAGCAGTAAGCACAAGTGCAGGTCGCCCCGCTTTCTGGTTGGATGGCAGCCATGAACCCAGATTGCTCCTGGGACACTGATGCTGGCTTGGCCCTCAGGCTCCGTCCTCAGGGCTTCCATCCAGCCTGTCTCCCGGGCCCTGGTGGCCTTGGCTGCGGTGAGTGTGGACTCTGGACCAACCCGCTGCTTTCCTGGGAACTGCAGCATTTCATTGGGGTTTCTTATGCTCCTGTCACCTGTGCCAGGAGTTTCAAATCTGTGTTCACGAGGATGAGATGTTCTGTGAGCTCTGTTTTGTGTCAAGATGATGGTTATCTCATTTGTTAACTTATTTTGGTCATTTAGGTTTGTGTTTCGCATACCTTTGGGATTAAATATGGAGGCACTGACCATTTATACTGGTTTGAGCAGGGAGCGTGATTCAGCAAAGTGAAGACCTGGGACTGGCTGCTGGAGTCCTCCCAGGGAGGCCCGGCCTGCTCCCCACCCCGCACATGTCCCCTGTACCCGTCAGGCCCCTCAGTGCCAGTGGCTTCTGTCACCTGTGATCGCGGTGGCCACATTCTGCCCCATGAGCACCACGGTGGCCTCCCAGGTGCGTGTCACCCCGTTCGTGCGTACGGCCCCCGGGAATGTGAACGTCCTCTCCACGCGAGGATGTGAGCCTCTGTTCCTAAATGTTGGCCGTCTGAGGCAGCACAGACAGTGTCCTTGTGCACTGTCAGCTTCGGGGGCTGGAGGGTCCATCCATTGGGGAGCTTAGGAACTAGCGCCCCAGTGAGCTCCCTGTGCCCTGGTTTCAGAAACTCCCTTCAAATGCTTCTGAGGCAGTGAGTATGCAGTTTCAAAATTCGGGGCTTTGCATGTGGCCTCCCAGGTGGCGGCCGTTACGGGGCAGCTTCTGTGTCCTTGGGGCTGCAGTGCTCTGCTCGCGGCTGCCTCACCGCCGGCGGGGAAGCTGTGGGAACGCGCGCCCCAGTAACCGCACTTAGGACCTGGGCACCTGCCCTCTGGCTCCGTCTGCCATTTAACATCCTCAGCTGCACTGGCTGCCGTAAAAGGGGTTGCCCAGGTGCCGTGACAGGGTAACTTAACGTAGGAGGCAGCCTGTCAGTGGGGGGTGGGGGGCAAGAGGAGGAAGTCCTTGTCTCCCTAATACACAAGCTCTGATAGAAGAAGCCTGCGGTGCTCATGCACCCCCCCCCCACCTCTGGTTTTACAATCCAGGCTCCGGCAGTTTGGGGTTTGGGGCCTGGTCCCTGTCTTGTTGTTTGGGTCTGTGCTGGTGAGTGTGCCCTCATTGTCTGGTCCCCCGCTGGGGCCCCGTGCTGGGCGTCAGGTGCTGGGGAGGCCCAGGCTGGCTCCCAGCCCCCTGCTCTGGTGCCCTGCTTTGACAGCACCCAGAGCCCTTGTCCTGCAGCCTCGCGGACAGAACATAAAGTGTGGTCCAAGACCAGGACCAAAGCTGCCGCCAGCTCGAGGAGGAGAGGGCGCTGGCATCTCCCCTCCTCCTCGGGTTTGCTTCTGAGGTCTGCTCCACAGACCTGGGGGCAGGGGGACGACAGCTGGGTTCCTGACCTCAGCTGGATGGGGCACAGTGCCACCGAGAGAAACCGAGGCGGGAAACCGAGGGGTGGTTCGTCGTGTCCCTCCCCCCCCCCCCCCCCCCCCCCCCCCGAGCTCTGAGCTGCCTCGTGGCGATTTTTCAGTTGGTCAGCTTAAATCATCTTGAGCGAGAATGTCTTTTCTAACCTACCCTCTGGAACGAAGTGGTGGGAAAGGAGGCCATTACTCTTCTGTCCTGCACGGAAACGCATGGATGGGAAGCACCGACAGGAATCCAGTGCCAGGGCCCTGGCATCCGGGCCCTCCCTGCAGGAGGCACAGCGCCCACTGCCCTGCTCTGCCTCGCCTCTTGCCTTTTAAACCTGCAGGAGTTCCAGAAGCCAGGTTTGTGCTGCTACTTCGGTGAGGCAGGCTCGCAAAGCCATGGGCCAGCCCAGCCCCAGCCACCTCAGAGCCGCCCAGCCTGGCAGGGGAGTTCAAAACCCCTGAGGGGGCTGGAGGCGGAAGCTTCTGGAAAGCCTGGCCTTCTTCTAAAAGCAAATGTGTCAGAGGGAGTAGCAGACCCTAGGTTCTAAATTTAGGTAAACAAACAGTGGTAAAGAACCTTTGTCTTTTGTGCTGATCGGACCTCTGGCACTTTGGAAGTGAGGCACTGGCTTGGGACGAGGACAGAAGCCTTACGACAGAAAAACGGGGCGGGGAGGACAGAAACGAGCGATGCCGACGATGACTGTCTCCCTGAGGGACGACACGCGCTGACACTGTACCAGGCACCCCGTCCCTCCCGGCTGGGACGCTGCCTGCCCCACTGCCTAACACCCAGGTCCTCAAGGCGGGCAGCCAGCTAGGCAGCCGCTTCCCTGCCGCCTCTGCTTCCTGGGGTACGTCCTGAATTTTGAAGAAACTGTCAAGGACTGAGCGTGCCCTGGAGTTGGTGAGGCTGCTGGGCCGATGGCTGCGTCTGCGCACACCTCTTACCTGGGAGGGAGATGTTTGACTTCCTTGTCGAGGAAGCTCAGAGTGTGAGGGGGAAGCCACAGGGTTTGCTGGCGAGGGCTGCAGAAGGCTTTGGACGACGCGGAGGCCACGTCTGTGTCTGTGACAGAGGAACTAGCAGCAGAGTTGGACTGGACATCCTAGAAAAGATGCACGGAGCTCTCTGTGCCGGTGGGCTCAGGCCCTGCCGTCCCCACGTGCAGGGGAACTGGGGAAGCGGCTGAGCTCTGGTGACTGTCCCCTTGTGCTGGGCAGGGCACCTCTGCGTGCACGTGTAAGCCTGCCGAGGAACCTGGAGATGCTGCCGTCCTGGCAGCACGCAGGGACGGTGGCAAGGTCCTCTCCTTGTCCAGAGCAGGCCGGTCACCAAGGAGCTCGGCAGTCTGGGGAAGTGAGCCCGGGGCTCGCGAGGATTCCTCTGACACCCAGAGCCGGTTCACACGGGCGTGCAAGTGCCTTCACCCACGGCTGCCTCTGTCACACGAACTTGTCATAGTGCAATTGCTTCTCTCAATTTAGAAGTGTAAAGAATGGTTGGCATTTGTCATTTCTGTATACCTAAGTTTATTAAAGGTTATGCTAGGTGACACCATATAAAATTGTATGAATGTTTTACTGTTACTGAAAAACACAAGCAAAATTTATATGTATTTCCTTTTTTATAGTTTCATCTAATTTCTTGACAGCTTGAATAAATTTCATAAAGAGCGTTCCTAACGTGAAATGTTGGTAAATTAAGCTCTTAACTGTTGCGCTAATTAACGGAGCTTTAATACCAGTACCATTATGTAATAATTTTGAGATCATGTTTCTGTCACTGCTTTAGTTTTTAGCTGTCCCCTTGTCACTGTCACAGCTACAGACTTACTACATACTTGATATTCAGGAGAACTTTGGGGTTGCCCTCTGTATACTGACATGAAATAAACGTGTGAATGAATTATAAATGTAGATAATTTTCCATAGTCACTTTCACATCTAAGTTAAGCTTTAAAAATATCTCAATGAGACAAAAAGGGAAAGCTTCGAAATGCTGTAAAATTAAGGGCCTTGTTAATGTTTACAGAACAGACAGACGCAGGAATTGCCCTCTTGTTACTGACGTGGAGTTGTCATCATTAGAAACTTATAAGTGAAGCGTCTGTTCTGTGTATCAGAGGTGTTGACTTCTGTGCCCCTCGTCGACGCTGAGTCTGGGGGAAGGACTGTGGCCCGGCTCCAGCTGAGCCGTGGAACGGTGTTTGGTGAGGATGCTGACCCTCGGGCTGCCCTGGGCTGCGAATGGCTTTGGCGAGCACAGCCTCCGTGTCCCGATGCTGGGCATCCGACGTCCTCTTCAGCCCGCCCGGCTACAGCTGGGAGGGGAGGAGAAGCTGGCGGCCATTCGCAGGAGCGCCTTCCTGGGCCTTCTGCTGCTTTCCTGCTCCCAGTCTTCAGCCTGCCTGAGGCCCCAGAGCCGCTGGGGGCTGTCCTGCCTGGGGCTCCGGTCCATTGACAGGGGAGCTGTGGTTTACTGTCCTGCTGCGTGACTGGGGACACCTGGGCACCTCCAGCCCAAGTCCGGGTCAGAAGCGCAGCCTGGACCTGCCAGCGCCCCAGGGGCCATGAGAGGCAACGGTGAGCTGGCCAGACGGCCCCTCGTCAGGCCCTGGCCTTCCTCGTCCCCGTCCCACCCGGGCCTCAAGCTCCCTCCTGTCAGCCTGCGCATATCTCAGCGACTCCAGGATCTGCCTGAGCACACCGACCTCCCGGGTGCGCCGCGCCGAAGCCTGTGCATCTTGCCTTCCACTCCGCTGCCAGAGCACCAGGGGCGGACTGCGGCTTAGAGCTATCCCCTCGGACCTCCTGTCACAGGAGCAGCACGGGTGTCCCTGCAGCCTCCAGAAAATCTGAGTCCGTCTTCCATGTGTGGCTGTCGTCGAAGGACAGCTGATTCTGGACCAGTGGGTCTCAGGAAAGGGACAGCATCTAGAGGCACTTGGCAGCCCTACCCTTCAGAGTTGGTGCCCGCGAAACCAGCCTCTACAAGGCCGGCCGCGTGGGCGACTCCGTGAAGTGACGTGAGCTACAAAGGCTCCAGTCCTCTTGTCCACAGAGCAGAACGGGGTTCAGCCGCAGTGCGT